ATTTTGTAAGAATACCTATACAAGTTCGTAAAATATGAATAATAAATCATATTCATTATTAACCAAAGAGATGATCAATAATTCTGAACATGACGGAACTTTACCAGAAAATTGTTTTTGCYCTGTATGTAATGTACATATGAATAGAATGAAAAGATCTCGACCACTTGATACCCACCAAGAACATAACGCATTGTCATCAGACGGGATAAAAGATCGGTGGTGTCCTATTGATCGATTATCAACTATTCGTACCAACTCACATCAAACAATAGATCACAACTCAGAAAGGCTACTAAAATTAAATCCCTATCCTATTTTGGATTCTGATCCTACATTGGACAGTTTAAACTATTCAAATGCATTATCCAGATCTCCTAATTCATTAGGTAAGTAGGATAAGTATTTTTTTAGTTAATTAATGAGTTAAAAATTATTATTTGTAATTAAAAATGATTTGTTGATTAATGGCTAATAATCTGCAGAAATAGAAGATGATATTTTTCAAAGTTAATAAATCAAATAAACAATACCTCAACATAGTAAAAATCTATATTTTTTTAGGAAACAAAAAGAAAGATTATACTACACAGTCTTTGTATGAAATCGAACATAATGATAGACGTAATGATGTTTTTCAATATCATAATAATTCAAGACAGTGGGAAGAAAATGAAAACTGCGTAGATCAAGAAGAGTATCATAATGTTGATCAATTTAATTATACATCAATTAAAAAGTATGATGCGCATATAAGACAACCCCCTGTTCATCGCCAGCGTAAAGTAACTATTGCAATAAAAGTAATTTTTTAACTATTTGTATTTTAAATTATATATGATTATAATTTAGATATTACCAACGGTTCCTCCTAAACCTCTTATTTCTACAAATTGTATTCAAAAAATAGGATGCTCATCTTTAACCATAAATGGTCATTTGAATAATACAAGTTCAAAGAATAAAGATCTCGTGGACATTCCAAATCAGAAAACACTTGTCAACCATGTACGAATAGCTACATTTATGCCTGTAGAATCAAAAGAAATATTTAAATCAAAGAACCATATTAAAGATTCATCTAAGGCTAAAGAWTCATTGATGGTTACTAAAGAAGACAAACTAATTTATGAACAAACAAGTCTAAAATCAGAATTAATACTTAATAGTGATATTTATGACACAGAAAAATCAATATTTTCTGATAAAAGTATTAAAACATTAACACTTAACACTAGACGGCGAACTGATAATATAAATAATACATCTGTGTTTTCTGTTAAGTAAGAATAAAATTAACTAAACAATTCTTTAAGTAATTTATTTTTAAATCTAAATATTTAATGGTTTTATTTCAGTTCGTGTAATACACACTTGGACTTAACATCTGAAAGTAAATATTAACTGAAACTCGCTATAATACTACATATTTGTTTATATTAAATTATATACTATGTTTATAATAGATGCTCGAAAAACATTAGAATCTCCATTAGTGCAAACCCTTAACAARAGTATTGGACAAGATTCTATGACTGATGAACCAAATAAATTAGCTTTTGACCATTTGTTTTCAGGTATTTAAATAWGTTTAAAAATTAAATAAATGGAATATTTACCTATATAATGATAATTTTCAATTACAGGTACTCAATTACAAAAGGATAATTTTGAATATCATTCAGCATTACGCCCGAGTTTATTTTCTAATATGCCACCTTACATAAGATTTTCTTCCCATGATATTAAAGGTATTAACACTGCTATTCAATGCTTTTTAGATAAAAATGGTTAATTCTAAGTTTTCTATAATTATAATTACAGGTGAATCATTTCCACTATCTTTGCAAAAGTTATTAAAGTGGAAACTAAGTTCTATAACTCCAATTGTTGTACGTCGAACTATTCAAAATAGTGGTTTTAAACTTGTTAGAAGTGAGCATAGTTTTATTCAAAATGTAATCGATTCTTCTGTCCTAACTATTTAATCCAATCAATATGGTATATCCTTACAAAATCACCATGGTGTTACATCTCTTATTGTTGATCCTTTCTATGGTTTAACGTATCTACCTAATGAATAAATTATGTTACCTAGACTGTGTACTTTTACTTTTTTCCTTTTAATATTATTATATATTATATAATTTTAATAATAATTAATATTTGTTTYTCAAATTTTAATTTTTAAGAATCTAATGATTGGGTTGGAACATGGGGTAAACATATGAAATCATTGTGTTTCAAAACACTTCGGGAACAACAAAAACTTAATCATTTTCCGGGTACTTTTCAAATTGGCCGCAAAGATAGGTTGTGGAAAAACTTGCATCGATTAATGTTGAAATATGGTAAGGAAAATTTTGGCTTTATACCTACATCATATATACTACCTCAAGAAGCTAGAATTTTACGACAAGTTTGGGAAAAAAATGATGAAGATAAATGGATTGTTAAACCGGTATTATTTTATTTTATTTGTTCCTTAAAATAATGATAAAATTAATATTGAATTTTATTATATTTACAGCCAGCATCTGCTAGAGGAACTGGCATTCGTGTTATTTCTAAATGGAGTCAAATACCAAAGAAAGTACCTTTAGTTGTTCAAAGGTACATAGATAATCCATATCTAATTAATGACACCAAATTTGATTTAAGACTGTATATACTCATCACTTCAATAAATCCACTTCGCCTATATCTTTATGACAATGGCCTTGTGCGATTTGCTTCTGGTATAATATTTGTTGTTTTACGATTGAAATCATCACTTATCTATGTGTAATTTTTCAGTTAAGTATTCATCTGATCTTACCACTCTATGTGATCGATATATGCATTTAACAAACTATAGCATTAATAGACTTAGTAGCCAGTATACTCAAAATGAAGATGCTGATGCGTGTCAAGGTCATAAATGGTAAACATGCTAAATTAAGAAGACACTACACCTGCATGCATTGTCCCCRTCTTAGAAACGTGCAACATAGTAAAAGCCTWTTTAGCGCAGGACAAATTTTACTTCCTCCATTTATAGTAAAATTATCAAAATTTGACTACGGAAAAAGAACTATACATGTGTCATAACATTTTTATTTTTTTTGATAGCACTATCCATACATTTTCAGTAATTTAATTTAAAAATACCATATGTTCTCAAACTGTTGACTATTTATGTTATCCAATTATAAAAATAGCTGTAATTTTGGTAATTCTACATAAATATAGAAGAAGTAAAGTTGTCCAGTGCAAAACTAATTTTTATGTTATATGTTTATTAGACGGAGACAATACATGTGGATGTGGCGTCTTCTGTAGTGTATTAATTTTTAATTTTATGCTAGTATTTTTACTTGAAATAATGTAAACATTATAACAATGTAATAACTTAGGACATTAAAATCACTATGGACATATATGGAAAAAGAACGCAAGGTCGATGTTAAAAAATTGTGGGAGAGCTTAGAAGATCTGGTCGTTAAGACTGTCATCAGTGGTGAATCACCAATGAGTCAAATGTGCCGTTCAAATCTGAGCAATAGATATAATGCTTATGAATTATTTGGAATAGATGTTTTGTTTGATGAATATCTTAAACCTTGGATATTGGAAGTAATTATAATAATTACACGTTTGTAACATTGAATAATGTAATAYTGAATGGTTCTATGTTCATTATTAGGTCAATATATCCCCTTCATTGCATTCTTCGTCTCCACTTGACTTGGCTGTTAAGGGACCATTGGTCAAAGATCTAATGAATATGGTTGGCTATCATATCCCAAACAAAATGTCTCAAAGTACACATGTGAGTTTTAAATGATAGTAGATWGTTTGTTCTAATATGTTTCACTTAATTTCTATAATCAACCAACAAAAATAAATAATTTTATTAAATTAAACATTTCTATAGAATACCTTACTCAAGATGTTAGGAGTCAAATCACCACTATGCTATGATAAAAGATTATATACATTTAATTTATCTGCTAAAGAAAAAGAAAAACAAGAATATTATACAAATGCTGAATCCAGAGTAGAAGTACTAAATTATTAATTACTGTTACAAGTATCAATTAATTATAAACTTAAAATTTTTTTTAGTATATTGATAGCATATTAGATGATCTATTACCAGACGATATTCGGCATCTTATCATTTATGAAGATGAACTCACACAAATTGGCTCGTATGTATTTTATTATGACATTATTTATTTCTACATTAGATAATAAGATATATATATATATACTTATATACTAAGATTTTTATGTTTTTAGGTTTCAAAAAGTATTTCCAACCACTTTATCTTTTAAATATCATCAATACTTTGAAGGTTCTAGATATTATAATATGCTTTTTGATGCATGGGAATGTAAATACAGTAACAACAGAGATGAAGGTAAGAACTATTTTTAAAAACTTTAAGTAT